TTCCCATAAAAAGGATTTGAAAAAAAAAAATTGTTAACTAAACGGTAAATCAATGGTTTGTTTAAATAAATTTCCGGATCCCATGTTATGCATGCAACAATTTTTAATAACTTTGACTACTCAAACAATTTTGACCAATTTTCCTTTTCACACAGTTGGAAAAGTCAATTCAATGGTTCGTTAAAATAAATTTCTTATTTCCATATGCTTAGCAATTAAAAAATGTTCAATCTTTTTTCTATTCCCATAATTTTAGCACATTTTCTTTTTAATATATTTTAAATTGTAAATTCAATTGTTTGATAAAATGAATGTTCTACATAAAATGCTAAGCACCGAAACATTTTTCAATAACGTTGCTACTCCCACAATTTTTGCAAATTATTCCTCACGCAAATTTAAATAGTTAAATTCAACGATTTATTAATAAATTTTTAATTCCATATGTTAAGCATTTAACAATTTTATCGTTAGATGCATCATCATGCACAACGACTTAAGTTCATTTCATGAGAAGTAAGGAAAGGCAACACAGCTAAAGTTTACTTTTGCGAGCTTCCAAAGGCGGTAGAGAGTCTACTTTGATTTGAAAATGAAAGAAAAAGTTCTCTTTTTTCGTCTTAAGATTTAAAATCTGACACCAGTATAACGTTAAATAAGCTATTTTAACAATGCAAAATCATTAAATGAAGTTATAATTATAGATGGAGCGAAATTATCGATATTCACAAAAGTGTAACTGCCAAAAGTGGACTTAAGTGCAAATCGTGGGTAGGCAAAACGACCTAAGTCCATATTTTCGCATTAATTCAATTTGATTAGTACCTAGGAAAAAAGTTACCTTGTAACAGCTTAAAATATCATAGTTTCAGTTCTCAAGTCATCCGCTTCTAGTTAGGCAAAACGTTTTTCTCGAAAATGAACTTAAGTCGTTTTGCCTTTCCACCACAGATATATATGTTTGATTGTTCTGATATATATTTTAAATAAAATTTACCTTTGTCTTATAAAATATTGATCTCCTTATTTTAAATTACGTAAACTTTTTATCGTATATCTATACAACTTTGTTATTGACACAACTTTTAGCAAATTTCCCCACTTCTACTAATTATATTCCCTTTTAGAAAAAGCATCTACTAAAAGTGCCAATAGTTTAGAAACGTTCTGATTGGTTGAGAGAATGGCGCTGCGGAATGCATCAGTATGTTGTCAATTGAGTATTGACTGTAAGTTGAGCGTTTTGATTAATTCCTCATAGCAGTGAGCGAGTTATGTAAACAAAGTTTAAGGTAGAGCGCTGTTTTAGTGGCTAGTTATATTATATTAGAGATACACTAGTACACGAGTACCTATTGCGTATAATTGCTACCCCACGTCAGGGGAGCAGTGAGAAAGTATTAAATTACATTAGGTGAAAAATACGTGAAAATCATGCGAAATTCACGTGAAATTCACATTTTTGAAAAAATTGTGGGGAAGCAGGTGAAAATTTTGGGGAGCAATTTGATCACAACCTTCCTACTGTATAGTATATAGATAGATATAGATATATAGGTATACGCACGTACTGCTGGGGCTGGTCTAAGGCCAACCCGGAGACTGTGTCGCGACCAAGTGCAGTTTCAATTGCTTAACGGGATTATCATCCTTAACTTTGTGCACCTTTCAGCTCGGGAATTGATTATGCTCAAGATATTTCGCATTGCATTACTTATAAAAAGCTACTACAAAAAAAGTAATAAAAATTGCTCGCATGCTATATGAGGATTGGCAATGCGGGCATCATTTCGTATTCCAACTTGATAGAGCTTAACATTCAAATGTCTAGATAAGATCGTTTCCCTCCTAAAGCTTTTGTCGAATATTTCGCTTGAAAAATCCTTACCTGAAATAGCGCCTCACGTGTTGTGATTGCGTATTCTATGCCAAACTTGGGATATTTTCGCAACTGCTTTTTTTACATGAAACAATATACATCTATAATAAGATCGTATATATACATGGTGCATTTGTAGGATGAAAGGACAAAGTTTATCCATACTATTTCACGAGCTATACGTGTCTTGGAGAAGGAATCAGCAATCTAAGCAAGCCAAGCTCAGCGGACAGCTAAATGAGCGTATTTTTGTTTGACCCAGCTGTAAGAGACTCCCTTATACGCCTATACTTTCTCAAATACTATATTATGAATCGATTTTCTGTGGTGTGTAGCAAATTTACATTTTATGCCGCATCGTTTCCTATTTTTCTATTGCGAAATCATCAAGTAAATACCATACGCTTTGAAGCTATTGCACGTCTTTATGCGCAGGTTTTTTAACTTCATGTAAAATCTAACTAAACTGAGAATTCTTATGTGCCGTTACAACAGAAAAAATAGGGTATCAAAGTTTAACTCGCGACTTTTGGGTTATACGGAAAATTTTGTTCATTACTCATTTTTCAAACGTAGTTGATTAAAGTAGCTATTTGTTATCTCCGTGTGTGTCACCTCCGCAACAAAAAACAGTTAAGTTTGAGCTTAAAACCGGACTTATTTTTCGAACAACGAAATCTCAAGGTCCCAGATTCAATAATTATTCCTATTTTATAGTTTAAGAAGTGGTTAACTAGGTCACGCTGTTTTATGTGAAAAAAAATTTTCACCTTTTTTCATTTTCAATTTTCATATACGGAGATTTAGAGATTTTATCAACCAAATACGCCATGTGAACTCAACCGACTTTCCGTCATTTCATTTTTATCACTGTATGTTTTCTATTCTCAGAGTAAAAAATTTTTCCGACACGAAATTCGAATAATTATTAGTACTTTTCTTTAAAATTAATGTACTTTTGGATTGTACGAGCTAACTATACAGGTAAACTAAATGTAAAGAGAAGAATAAATTTATAATCTCTTGAAAATTTTTCAAATAAAAAACAAATACCGATTCAAGATTTTTTAATGATAGTATTATAAAAAAAATAAATCCAGTATTATGAAAAAAAACGCTGTCAATTTATCAGCAAAGAGCTTCCATATATTTTTATGTTTTAATTTCAATATTTAAAAGTATAATAATTGTATATGATAATTGCTAGATAAATTACTCTGATGTATTCATATCGCATCAATATATATTTTTCCAATTTCGAGCTGCATCTTTCACATGCAGATGCGACGCCAAAACTTTTCGTGCGTACAGGTAATAGGTATAAAATTAGACCGTTTTTGCACCAATTTTTTGTATCGCCTGGGCTCATGGCTCAGCTGAAAGTTCAAGGTTTCAGGTAAAAAAAGCCTTACCTATGAAGTCCAAAAAGTGACGGGAATCGGTGTCGATAGACGTTTGAAGTTAAATAATGTGATTTTAAAATTTAGCAAAATCGCTCTCGAAATTACAATCATATTATAGATTGCTAAGTTTGCTCTTAGGGTAAAATCTACATTTGCAAGATGTTTTCATAAGTAATTTTTGTGTGTGGAATTTATTCCGTAGCCAGTTTTGACCTAGGGGTACGATTTCATTGCAAACATGCATTTTTTCGATATCTTTATTCTGCGTAAAAATTCGCAAAGTTAATTATCGAGCGCGCGGCAAATGAACAGAAAAAAAATCAAAAAATTTTTTTACACTGCCAAAATTTAGGATTTTTTTTGACAAATCCAACGGTATATATTATTATATACTTTAATAGTTATTTATGCAACAAGTGCCCAAAATGCGTTTTTGCGCCCAGTGTATGCACGAGGGTAAGCGTCAGTCAATACGAGTGCAAACAAACAAGACATGAAGTATAGCCAAGTGGTTTGTTTCGCGCACACTCTGAAGAAAAAGCTGGGCACGTATTGCATACAAAATTTTATGCAATAGAATGCGAAAAGTGCATAAATAACAAGCATGATATTTCATGAAATATCAGCAATTTTAGAGCGCAAAAAGCAATTGTGGACACTGGTGTGCGGTAAAATACCTCATTTTGGACACTGGTCTGCGGTAAAATGCCTCGTTTGAAATGAAAGTATTTTTCGCTTACTATTGCATAAATAATTATTCATACAAAAAAATGACTTTATACCAAAATATGACACGATGAAAAATGAAAAAATCGAAAAGCATATTCGCTTCTTCAAGAAAATGGCTGATTATAATCACTCATGAAAAAACTTGCATTCAATTATCTGGTAGGTTTTAGTCTCACTTTTTCAACGCCCCGTTTTTGGATTTTAAAAATTCAAAAATTTCCCTGAGATACAGCTGTTTTTGTATGATGCGTTTTTTTAACTTAAAACTCAATAATTCTATTCGCTGATTCTTTTGATACATGGAGCTGGCTCAGTTTTTTTCTTGAGGAAACGAAAATTCTTTTCGATTTCTCAATTTTTTATAATGTCGTTTTTGGTATAAAGTCGTTTTTTTTGTATGAAAATAATTTTAAAGTATATAATAATATATGCGTTGGATTTATCCAAAAAAAATCCTAAATTTTGGTAGTGTAAAAAAATTTTTTGATTTTTTTTTCTGTTCATTTGCCGCGCGCTCGATAATTAACTTTGCGAATTTTTACGCTGAATAAAGATATCGAAAAAATGCATGTTTGCAATGAAATCGTACTCCTAGGTCAAAACTGGCTACGGAATTAAATTCCACACACAAAAATTACTTATGAAAGCATCTTGCAAATGTAGATTTTACACTAAGAGCAAACTTAGCAATCTATAATATGATTGCTATTTCGAGAGTGATTTTGCTAAATTTTAAAATCACATCATTTAACTTCAAACGTCTATCGACACCGGCTCCCGTCACTTTTTGGACTTCATAGGTAAGGCTTTTTTTACCTGAAACCTTGAACTTTCAGCTGAGCCATGAGCCCAGGTGATACAAAAAATTGGTGCAAAAACGGCCCAGTCTAGTATACAAGTTTTGTTATTTACTGTGAAAATTTAATTGATACAAAATATAAAATTTGACTTCCACACCAAAGATAAATGAATAACAAAATTAATTTCGATACTGATATCTTTATTAAGTACTATGACACATAATGACATAAATCTAATAATCTAAATTATTTTTTTATAAAAATTTTTAGCAACTAATAGAGGTTTTTTTAATAACTCTTCGATTAATCTGAATGTGAAGACAATTTTTGTTGAATCTATAGAATGACGATTTAAAAATCATTTAGTATTTCATATAAGAACATTATATCTTTTAAAGCGAACTCAATAACAAACATACAATATTTCATTTAAAATTTTAAATTATATATTATAAATTTTCTTATATATACTTTATCCACCCTAAGGTGAAACGGAGAGTTAAAATTATTAATACAGGTTTAAATTTGTTTATAAAAACAAATAACAGTCGTTAGTTTTTTTAGTCTCATTTTATTTCATGTTACTCCTAAATCAAGGTTCAAAAAACCAATACCACACGAGTAATTGAAATGAGATTACTGCTTCGGCCTTGCAAACCTTTCAAATGCTTTTTTTGTGGAGGTCTACATGTAATCTTTATGACAATGAAAATAGCTATAGAAAGGAAACAAAATAAAATTTCTCTTTTTGCACAAAAAAGAGAGTAAGCAGAGAAGAGAGAGAGAGCGCGTATGAAGATCAAGCAAAAACGCACTGGCAGTTTCTTTAGCTATAAAAAATATACACAATCATATGTACATTCACTGTTGTAGACGTGACTCAACACTACAATATGAATAAAATTTGTGCAGCAAATATCACTCCACAATATATTAGTTTTAGAAGTAATTATGAAACGTTCGAACAAACTGGAGCCAATATACGGACAGACAGAGTGGATTCGAATCTTAAGAATTTTGTTGGTACACTAATCGTGTATCTATGAACCAGTTGATGTTTTATAAAGTATATTGTTTTAATTAAAACAATAACTTAAAAAAAAATGAATTAATAGTGATAAATAATGACGAACAATCAATTTCAGTAAAATATTCTCTGGTTTTATCTCAGTCAAGACGATGAAACTATGTATTATATAATGCATTAGACTTTGGACCAGAACAAAGATACTATTAAACGAAGTTATGAACTGAAGGTCTACTTTCAACAGGCACGAAAATCGTTTTTCAGGCTGTGATTCCTGATCTGTTGATAATTGTTAATAATTGTCGTGGCGTTCAGTGTAGGTCGTCTGACGAATAGTCACGGTGTCTTCTTCAAGACCACCGTAATCACCGCCGATAACTTGCCTTCTAGCGCTATCACCGTAGCCTCTGGAGTGTTGATTATTGTATTCTCCCGCGCTCGAATGCGAGTTGTAGCCGCTGGCTTTTTGACTGTAACCATTGGCAGGCCCGTAACCAGAATCGCTCTGGCTCACCGCCATATACCCGGTCCTTTGAGCGTAACCTGATCCATTTGCGGAAGCGGAGGCCAAACTTCCTTGATTGTTGCTGCTGCTGGCTACTTGTCGACTGTAACCGCTCGCTCCGCGTTGATGACCGTAGCCTTCGCCGCTGATGGAACCTCCGTCGGTTTGACTGACTGCCATGTAGCCGCTTTTTTGCGCGTAAGACGAACCACCTGCGCCACCACCGTCACCATCGTATCCATAACCACCGCCCGCTGAGTGCTCGTAGCTGCTGCCGCTTCGTTGATGCGCATACGAAATGGCTCCGCTGCTGTCTAACTCGGCATAGCCTCCAGGATTGTGGCTCGTCGACGTAGAATGTTGTTGGATACTCTTCGAAACCAGCACCTTGCGAACGACGACCTCTTCTTCCGGTGGTGCGACCGGTGCCAGAGGCGCGTCTACGAGCTTCGGTCTAGTCAAAATCGTTTGAAAATCGTTAGCATTGTTTCAAAATATTAACTATTATACATTATAAGCAATATTTACTAAGATTACGATAGTCATGATAAATGAATTTATTATTACTCTTTAATATCACAATAAATATAATTTTTAATGAAGAATAAAATAAGATCCTAACAATTATTTTTTTATTTTAATTGAAAAAATTTAGAATTGACAAGATTTCAAAACATTTATTTATTTTTATGAGTTTCATGCACTTCAAAGCAAATACTATAAGGACTAAATAGATACTTTGGAATTAAAAAAATGTTTTATTCAATTTTTTTCATTAGTGTTTTCTGGCATTTCTTGTTTTTTGAATATTCATCTCATCTGTCATAATATGCAGAGCAAATTATTTGATTTATAACGCCCAAGTGGTATACACTTCTTCGGAATATCAATGTTTACGGCCTTTACGTCGTACAGGCTTTTACGTAACCCCACGTCTGTCGTCTCGCCCGAGCTTGCGATTGTATCAACTGTTGTTCTGAAAATGTGTACACCACCTGAGCGCTGCGGCTCAAATACTTCGCTCTGCATATCTGCCAGGTAAAAAAAACTTGATTTGACAGAAAACGCAAAAAGTAGAAAAAAAGTACAATCCATGGTGTACGAAAAATACTCGAATAAAAAGCAGAATCTCAGTGAAAAATTCAAAGTTAAAGTATTGAAAAATTCAATGGAAATGAAAAATAATCCTTTTAAACAATTTACATTTTTTTTCTATTATAGGGCACCAATAATTTCTTAAGCCATTGACTATTTCATGAGATTGAACTGTCAGTTATGCGAATTAAATGTTAGTGCGATGAATATAAACGCAAACGCAAAGATTATAAAAAAGTATAATATTAAAACTGTAAAAAGCATATACCTTCAATAACACCATAACCACATCTATTGTAAGTCAAACTCAGAATTCAAGAACAAATTGCCACTCTTCATCTTCTTTTATGTTAAATAAGCTATCACATGGATGAACATAATTAGCGAAAATAAGAGCATGTAAGGTTTTGCTTCACACTTCGAAATATTTCACAGATTAAAATTCAGTTCGTTTTGTTATAGAGTTAATTCGAACCACTCAAGTCAATGTACACATATTTAAAAGAACTTGCATGACATTCTTAGTTTTACAGTCAAAGAAAAATTTTATATTAGTTTTAAAAAATAAGACACCTAACAGAAGTTTTTGAGTATTATATGGAATTTTTATCGAGTACACCTGACAAAATTACAATAATAATGGGTGTGCGGGTACTCAATAAAAATACTAGTCTGGTCAGCTCATGTGAAATTCCCAAATTGATTTTATCTTATCTTGAATATTATATTACCTTACCAGCTCATGTGCAAAAATCATTTTTAATTCATAAACACGGTAGAAATTTGTTAATTATTTTTCCCGTGATTCTATCCTATAATGGTCGGACCAATAATTCCGAAAAACCTGATTCCAGACCGCCAAATTGAGTCAAAATTTAATGGTCTAATTTTTTGAATACCCGCACATCTAATAAAATAACATATATTAAGGCAGCAGGGTCTTGGTTGAATTTCAAAAAAAAAATTTTTTCGATTATATATCAAATTGAATTGATCAATTAATTATACACATAAATTATAGTTATTTGAAGAATAGTCAGTTAAATTTTTGCGCAAAACAATGAAAAATAAGCTAGTTACGGCAAATTTTCACAAACTAATTAAAAAAAATTCGGTGACCACTATCACTCAAAATTTACTTGACCGATATACTTCATATTTTGTATTATTATAACTTCTTGCATTATTATATACTCTTTATTAACAAATAAGATGACTTTTACCATAATTTTTTTAAAAAAGTCATTTTTTTACATCAAAATGGTGCCCGAAACTCAAAAATAATTTTTATGTACTTGAGTAGTAGGGAAAACAGTGGCCATCGGGATCAATGTTTCTTTTTCATTCTGTGAGAAAATTTGCTGTAGCTAGCTAACTTTTCGTTATTTTGAGCTGGAAATTTAACTGAATTCTTGAAATGATTATATAATGTACATATAATTTATGATGCTCAAAATTCAGCGCACGGACCCCTCGACCTTAATAACTCAAAATTATAAAAATACTCTGCTTATACTGTAAATTTTTATAATACTCTTTTGCTATTATATTATTTTGATACATAATAAGAGCTCTTTTTTCTTGCTCACAATTCTTTCAAATATAATTTTAAAAATTAAGTCTTACAATGCAGTAAAAGTTTTTAAAATAACATTAACATTTTTAAAAACAATTGTAAAAATTAAAGCTTTCTTTATGATTATAAGATAAATTAAATATCAAACAGCCGTCAGATTTTTGAAATATATTACCATAAAAAATAGTAGGGAGGACTTTTTTGATATGTTAGCTTATGAAAATATCAATACAAAATTATCTTAAGGCTGAATCATATAAGGCACTTGATTATACATGTATAAATGTACAGTAAATATTACAAGTGTTGGTTAGTTAAATGTTAAAAATGTGCTTTCTGTTCTTACGCAAATCTGTTTACTGTTTACGCAAAATTAATTGTTAATAATCGTCAAATCAACGTCAACTTTGGTAATGTTTTGTTATAATTAATAATACATAAAATATAATTCGATCAACTGCGTCAGTCTAATGATCTTAAGTTACTTTAATTAAGTCAGTCTATGTATTCGTTGCTTGACCGTTTCAACGAATGATTTCAATTTTCTGTTAAATAATTTAATAGATATTATCCTCATTTAAGTTAGTTGATTGCACATAAAAGTATTTTTATTACTTGTTTAAAACAGCACCACTAGCAGCATATGTTGGATTTTTGAAAGTTGATGTAGCTTGTTTGTAAATAGGATTTTCACTCTGTAAAATTTGTAAAAATTATGAAATGAAAACTCTGACATTGCTTTATTTTAAAATCATAATAATAAACATTTCGAATTACTTACAGCATCCCACTTTGCCATCATTCTTTCTTTTTCAAATCTAGCAAATTCTCTTCTATCGTGAATCGTTGTAAGTAATTTCCAAACAAGCAAAAGTGCCATACCAATCAGCACAACTGCTCCAATAACTCCAAGCACTATTCCTAGAATATAAACTTGTGGTGGACATTCTCTGTGCTCTTGAACTCGAACTTGCAACTTGTTGGTAGTCATATTGTAATGGTAGGCAAAGTAATATTTGCAATCATGCTCATCGTAACCCCAGCAGCCTGTTTCTTCCTCGTCAGCATCCACTTCAAGCGTTTGAACGATTACAGGGTGAAAATCAGGGCATGTTGCATTACATTCAGTTTCTGTAAGATTTCCAGCCTTAAAAGCATGACAAAGAACGCAAGGTTTCAGTTCTTCGCAACGACTAGGACAGGTGCGGCATATCTGGCAGTATTGACCTGAATAACGATATTCGCCTTCAACGTTACACTTGCATTTTCCGCACTCACACACCCCCTAGAACATTAAGGATATTTCAATGAATTTGATTAAGCTCTAATTTGATAGATGGTATGTTTCATATAAACTTACATGTCCTGAGCATTCGATACCATGTCGGAAGCAGGCGCTTGTGTCAGTACTGCATTCACAAGCATCGCCGGACCAACCAGGCAGACAGTTGCAAACGCCACAGTTACAATTTCCATGTCCAGAACAAATCGTATTATTGCGACGGTCACACGAAAAATTATCACATTCGCAGTATTGGCCGTCAATAATCTATAAAAAATTTGCATTGGACTATCTCATAATTATCTTATTTGAAGGAAAATTTGTCTAAAATAAATATTACCTCCGTTTCATCTATTCTTGTCTCGCACTCACACCTGTTACATGTGCAAGTTCCTCTGCCACTGCAATCGACAGTTGATGTATTGTCCCGTCTACAAGCAAACTCGTTTACAAAGGTCTGACTTGGGTCGTTCGTCGTGCATTCGCAATTTTTTCCAAAATGTTTATCATAGCAATTGCAAACCCCACAGCTCAAATCACCGCCATGATGACATACTGTTGAATTTTTTTCATAGCCCGTTTCGAATGGTTTCTCGCATTGACAATCGCAAATCATTTCCAAGTTCACTGTCAATGACTCATTAATTCCAATCTGAAAATATGTCACATAGTTGTTTTATATTACAAAAACAAGGCAGGATGAATTAATATTTACTGATGCATATTATTTAATATTAAACATAGAAAAGAAAAAAATGTATTATTCATGGTTGACCCCACCCTGATCACTACTTTAAATAACTTGTACACAATGGTTCTATTGTATTTTTTCATAATATTTAAAAATATTTACCGGATATATAAGGAATTTCTGATTCCATTCAGATCGATTTTCAGGACATGCAGGTACTACAATTTCCGCTGTAAATTCCACCTTATTTCCTACTTTAATACCATTGCACTTGTTTGTCTCTATTGAAGGTCCACCACCCAAACAACTTGAAAAGTATTTAATATTTACATAATTACTAGATGTATCTTTCATTTCAACAGTACTTGAAATAGCATTGTATTGCTCTCTGACTAAATCAACAATGTTGCTAGAATCATTGCTGAGTTTTGCAGCATAAGATCCTTCAATCAGTTTTGTAAGTGATTGATAAACTTTTATTTGTTCTTCAGTAACGGCCCAAATGATATTAATGGAATTTTCTTTAACTTTTAAATTAATTTGTGAAATACTAGGATAATCCTGTAAAGTTGAATGTTTGTAATTTCCGTATTCATCAAGATGACAGCATCCATCATTTGGTTTAACAATTCCTCCAAGCTTTCCATCACCAGCAAAATGAAAACCTGCATCAGTAGAAAAGAGCAAAAGTTTTCTAGCTTTTTCTCTCCACTGAATTTCATCACGACATACAATCGCTTGCATTATAGCATCAAAACCTCCTTCCGGTGCATCCAGATTTCCAGATACTGGTGCATCATGTACTTCTTGCTATAAAAAATAATTGTTTAGTAAAGAACTAGAATTAAAAAAATTCTTAGATACTTACAGCAAATTTTTGAGTATTTTGAGAAAGTGGCATATGGTTTTGGAAACCATATGGTGCAGCACAGCCATCACATGGCTCTTCAAGTCTACGATAAAAAAAAATTTGCAATTAAATAAACAAATCATAGAAGAGAAAGTTTAGCGATGTTTATACTTACTGCCTTGGCACCATACTAACATAGGGCATAATGACTTTATCCACAAAGCTACCAAAACCCAATCGAAAATTACTTGTTATATTGTTCATACTTTCTACCAAAAGTTGACCCAAATCAGAAAGTTTTTGTTTATCATCTTTCATAGAATTACTCAAGTCCATAAGGTAATAAAGATCTACTGGATAATCCTCTGCTTGCGCATATTCAATTTTAATTTTTTGAACTTCATCTGCAATTGATTGGTAATTAGATAAATTTTTTTTAAAACTGTAATAGAAATATATAAATCAAATTAAATGTTGAACATACTAATCCTTAGTTTTAAATTAATTTCTTGAGGATAAAGTTGTACAGCTTCTTGTTTACCACCAAAGTAAGATTTTCCACCACCTTGTACATTAAATTTCCCATTATATGATTCGTGACCACCTTCTTCAATAAAGAATCCACTCTCACTTCCACCATCAATACTGTAACTACCTTTCCACAGATCTTTATGACGTATTTTGATGTACTCATTATCAGGATTAAATGTGTAATTTTCTGGGCAAATTTCTGAGATCCTTGTATTTATGTGAGGAAGAAAACAACGTTTATCATCAAAGTCCTAAAATATTTAATCAAAAAGATTAGAGATTAATATACTTTGAAATGTGTTAAAAGTATAAAAATAAAGATGTTTCACATCAAAAATTGTTCTTACAGGTAAAGAACACCAAGCACAGCTTGGCGTCTGAATACATTCGTGGCATGATTGTTTACTTATACAGAAATTTGTTCCAGTAGGCTTTGGCTTATTTTGCACTGCTATACTGACTACAGTCCATAGCACAAGGGTAAAAAGTAAACTTGTCTTCAATTGACCAATCATTGCTGTAAATAAATAAAAATCCCTGATATAGATTTATACATATTTTCTTGTTTCTAAAAATTGCTTGATACAGATTTTTTATTAACAAAGAAAAAGCATTGCTGAATTGTTAGAGTAAAGTTCATAAAAGAAATTATTAATATTTATAAATAGCTTAATTCATGATTTGCGTGATTTCATTTTAGGATTTTTACATACCGATAAACTAAAAAATAAATTCAACTTTTTACAATATATTCATAATATGAAATTTTATTGACTTTATTTTAAAAAGAAATGAAACTTATCATTTGAACTTTTGCATAAAAGTATAAAACCACAAAAACAAACACTACATTTATACTAAAGTTAAAAATATATATGATCTGTTTTAATGGCTGGAAACTCAACTTGCAGGTTCTTATTGAAATATGAGGCATTCTATAATTAATACACTGACTCAGATTTTCTTGGCAAGTTCCAGCTCTGAGCTAACTAAACTGTAGTATTTGCATGAAAAACAGACAAGCACTAGACTACAGGAAGTGTACCAGAAGTATATGCTTTTGCTCCTGATCAATGTATAAACGCATGTTGCAGTCTTTTTATCAAGGGTATAGGTTAAATTATCTTTGAATAAGATGTTGAATAAGACTCACTAGGTCATGAATCTTTTAAAAATAGGTTTAAAGAAACAGTGGTAGGTGGTTTACGTTATAGTAAACACATAGTAGTCATCAACATTGCCTATTAAAGAGATATTCATCTTCAATGACCATAATAATCCTGAAATGTTGTGTCATAGAAATATATACTCATAAAATAAGTAATATTCTTTAAAAGGTAATATACAACTGTTTGTTTAATATACATTAAATACTTGGTTTAAGTTATCTAAAATTATTCATTATTAAGCAATTAGTTCATACGAACCGCCTATAATTAATTATGAGTATGGTAGAAATAAGGCAAAAATTGTGCCAATTTTAAGAAATATAATAATGAAAAAACGCATATATAACAGCTCATTTGCGATTTTCCAAATTGTATAGCAAAACAAACGCGGTGAGCACTCGGTAGCAGTTCACTTCCTGTAGGCTTTTACCGGGCCTGACAAAAATCTAAAAATAAACGCAATCGAATCATCGTACAGTTACAAAACCGACTTGCAAGCGTCTGAAGCCACGCAGCTCGAATCTCTGCTACGTGCCATGATCTTGTCTACCGCTACTCTTACTCCGGATATATTTAAAGACCGCATCCCATAATAATCCGTGCATGTAATATATACATACGCGGGGACACGGTCTCGAGCACATTTTATGTGGCCGCGCCCGACAACTCGCGAGCTCGACAGACATTAAAAAACAAGAGAGGAAAGAAGAAATTTGCTTGGCCTCTCTCTTTCTGTTTCTACTGTCTCGAGTGAAACAAGATCTCCCACGCACAGCATCTCATTTGCGTTGACTCTGTAAGCTTATTTCTCAATGTGCGACAGTCAACATTCACAGCGTAGGTAATACTTTGAACGATCGACGCAATTTCGCAACATCGCGCGCTCTCACATGTATGAATTTAACCAATCGTGACAGCATCAAGCTTGCAAGAGAGAAAGAGAGAAGGAGAGAGCTTGAGAAAAATTAAAAAAGCAACTTCCTCGTAAGCAGTTTTGGTGAAGCTTTTGCTTCCTAAATATTTGATTGAATTGCAGTTTAATTGTCATGACCGTCAACAGAAAGATTTAGGTACTGAGCAGAACGAGTTTTTTTAAGTTTTAAGTGCATCTAATCGATGCACGACCCCAATTTGAAAAAATTGTGAGCGTGAAGAAGCTCTAACAAAATAAACACCATATGAGGAGTATTGTTTCAACAAAATTTTAAGACTTACTGGCTATTGTTTCGTATCCTTTCGCACACTTTTCACAAGGCAGTTATTGAGACGAGTTTCTGTCAATTTCTCGTCGCTGTTGAATTCCAAAATTACTTATGCTACTCTCAAGATCGTTGCAACACAAAGAAACCGCATATTAAATACCACTCATTCGTCAATCGCACAAGACATCGCACAGGACTGATAGATATACAAAGATGCTAATTTTCAAGCGTGGACGAGATAGAAGGAAGCATGATTTCTCTGCAACAGAGGCAGATCTTGGCTCTTCATAAGTTATTACCGTAAATGGTAACCCAAGCGCGGCACATTCGCTCTCGTAGCACTTCACGAGAGATACACTGCACGACTCGCAAGCGAGCTGTAGAGAAGGAAAACACTAGGCAAAAGCAGTCCCATGAATGAACGGCAACATCCAGCTCCACAAGTCACCTTTCTGGAGCTGCAGAAATACATTTGAAGTGCCTCACGGACTCGCGGAGGCAGCTTGGCAGCAGCCGAGCTGAATCGCTTTAGCCAAATGGGAAATGAGAGTACAAGAGTAGAGGGGAAGCTCGGTGATACGTAGATGAATATGTATGCTCGCGGAGAAAGAAGAGCGGGGCTGACGATGCTCTTACAGGCAGCATGCCGTATCAAGCGTGGGGCGCGAGAACAGTGCGAGGATAGAAACCAATACGATTCTCATGGATACATGTAGGCGTGGGCGGCTTCCTGTACATGTAGTACAATCGCATCATTCATGTGTGGGCTCGTGCAAAAATCGCGCACGCGCCTATGGGTATGCCATATTATATATTACACACATATATTATACATACATGCATCTCAGCGAGAAAGGCAACGGAAAGACTCATGCTAATTCATTTCCGTAAATATCAAGGACGAATCATCCTTATGGGACACGCGAAAATAATAAAGCGTGAGCTTGTTACTTTAGGTGACTTTCTGAATCCCCTGATGTCTGAATGAAGTTTGTACGATTATGATTCAATTATCGATAACTCAGTCTTGATAAAATGAAAAATTCATTTTACCATAGTATTTATCGGAAAGAATATTCCATATACTTTTTTGAGGCGGTGCAATTTTTTTTTTTTACAGATTGTAGAATTTCCCCAACCAAAATCAAATTTCGGCATAACTTTTATAAACTTTTAAAAAAGTTTATAAATATTAAATAAAAGGCCAACTTTTGGAGTCATATGAAAGTTCATAAAAGTTTCATCCTTCATCATCAGTTCAGTTCATAAACATTTTTCAAATTAGCAAAAAAAAACAATAATAATAAAAAAAATAATAGAACTGAGTTCGAAATTTGATGTTTCATTTCAGTTTATGAAAGTTTTTAGGAATTTATAAAAACTTATAAAAGTCAGAAAACGTTAATAGAGAAAGTCAATTTTAAAAAGTCGAAAGTCAATTATAACATCTTGCTATTGTTAGGTATTTTATAGAAACAAATTCAAAAAACTATAAAGAGAACGAGAAGAAAATCAAACATGAAAATTAGTTCGGTGGTGATTTGAAGATAATTTTATCCTAGTTTATTACTCGATCGAAACGTTAAACTTTTTCAAAGTTTCGAGCAGAAGACGAGAGACGTTTTGTCGTTTTCGCAGACTGCTTTACAGAGCTTACAATTGAATGAATACGTGGTTATAAATGCTCATTTGCATTCATAATAATTTCGCTTTGTTTGAAATTTAAATAGCAAGTCATTTCGAGTATGGATCAATCTTCATTGTCAAGTTCAATGTACGAGCAAAGTATTGAATATGATGCAGAAAAAACGAAAAGATTATATGCAGCTATGAAAAAGGTTAGATAAACTTGTGATATATTTCCTAAATCATGCGCTTGTATGTTTTAATTACTATGATTTACAGAACTTCGACGATATTCAAAAATCTCTTGTGTCAGTTCACGAAAATTTGAAAATGGTAGAAAATGAATCTCAAACAACAGAAGCATTAATAAATTTGATAAGAAATTCTCAAAATTCACATAACAGTGATAACTCAGCTAATAATAGTGAAATACAAAATACAGTGAAATGAGTTATATAAATATTTTACTGTAATATACAATTTTTTTTAAATAAATTGTTTATAAATTAATACCTCATCATTATTATTATTGCATTTATGATGTACTTGAAACGTTTTCTACATTACCATTAGATGTTATAATGCACATGTATAAATTAATCTTAGATTTGAATTATCTGTACCTCTTAAGAAAATGCTTCTAATAGCCAATTCAAATAGGTTTATACATTTAATCAAAAAATCTATGAATGTTTCTAAACAAAATTACACAACCACATAAAAAAAATGTTCATATTCAGAGACTAGATCTATATATTGGGCTTTATGTTTACAGGGTCACTGAACCCGCATGAGATGTTAGTTTTTCTAGGTTAGCTCATTTTCAAGGTCATTTGAAGGTCAAATTAAAGAATAGTGGAAAAAAAATCTGAAAAAATTCGTACATAGGTTTTTCTGGAAATTGAATCCAAATCCGAGGTCAGATGACTATATGAAGTCACCTTTAATGTCATTTGATAGTCAAACTTAGAGAGTTCATGACCCAGGTGAAAATAGTATGTAAGATCTTATACCAGATCTGATGTCAGATCTAGAGTCAGATCTTGCATACTATTTTCACCTGGGTAAAAAAAAATCCAAAAAAATCACATAAACCACTCACCTAAGAAATGATGCTCTCTCTAAATCTTCAATTAAAAATGTGGGTTTCCATTGAAAAATCTCTCTGTGGTTGCGTTGAAGGTCAAATCTATGGCCACCACTAGAATCCTTGTCAAGAAATACGTCGGATTGGTATTTTAATTTTTTTACACCCTCTTGCAAGATTCCAAGAAGCATATAAACATACATTTTTCAGATTTTTTTACCATTTTTTTTAATTTTGACTTTCAAATGACCCCGAAAATGATCTAACTTATAAGAGCCGACATTGGATTCTGATTCAGCGATCCCAAAAACATTAAGTCCAAGCAGGTATGCTCTCTGGACATGAACATTTTTCCTTTTCAACATTTTTCCTTTCCTAAACAAATTAAAAACGCGAATTTAGTTGCCAACCAAATAAAGCATGGCATGTCTTGGCATTTATAATCCAGCTAAACTCCTTAAAATCGAAATAAAAATGTCTAGAGGTTTAGTGTAGACTGTAGAAAACTGGTAATTGGTATTAATATTTTACTGAACCCAGTTTTTAAGCAGGTTGGAACTTATTTATGCGAATCGTTATGAATAGAAGGAGAAAGAATAAAAGTAAAAATAAATTCTTCTGGCTCCAAATTTTATTCGAATGACTATATTTATTAAAAAATAGCTAAAGGTTCCGAAAACTAATAAGAAAACTCAATCGGTATCCACTGAATTAAGTTACGTGAGGTGACCAAAAACACTACTCGCCAGAAAACGCAAAAGAAGAAAAAATTTAACACATAAAGTATAGGAAAAAGGCTCACGGAAACAGCTGTATCTCAGTGCAAAATCAATTTGGAATTTCGAAAAATGCAATGGAAAGAGGAGAAAAAATCCTATTGAGAAATTGAATAAAAAAAATTTTGAATTTAAGGTGTATATAAGCCCTTAAAGATACATATGTTTATGCGATTGTGTATTCGGCACCACATTTTATATATGATGCTGTAAGTGAACCGAATTCTAAGTTCAGGGTCATTGATGGGTTAGTAAGGTGACTGAAAACTGGACGATTAGTGTTTTTTGTTTCAAATCATTTTTAAGAAATCCCACCAGCCTTTCATGGTCAAGTAAATGTACTCACTCTAAAAGTTACAATTTTTTTTCCAGAAGATTACAATTTTTTAAACTTTATGAGTAATTTCTCTAAGTGAGCAAAGGTAGTATTTTTTTCTACGGTTGAAAGCTGGTGCATTTACCCTGCTAGCATCTTAAGAGTTAATTTGAACAATTCAAAGATAATAAATTTGTAAAATTGAAAAATTACAAAAATTTGTATTGTAATATGTTCAGAAACTATATTTCTTCTTCATGAGTTACTATAACCTATAGGCACTATATTCAATTAAAATAATTGCTAATAATAAGTATTTTTTATTTAATTTTATACTGCTTTTATTTTTATTTTTACTTTTTTTCTTATGAACATCGTTCATTACGCTTACTATGGGAAGGGGAGGGGGGAGGGTAGGCAAAATTCGCCTATCCCTTACGTGACGGGGAGAGGGGGGAGCCGTAATACCCTTACGTAATTAATACACGGGGAAAGGTTTTGCTCACAAAACGTCGTGCACGATATTGAGGCGTCGTAAGAGGGCGCGCGCGCACCAGCGTTCGCGTAGCATGCACGTTACGACTTGATGCGTCGCCGCTCTATGTTTTTCGATGCTCTCGGCATCACGCATTTCTGTGCGTGCACCGTCTTTTGTCGTGCACGTTCGAACGAATAGTTGGCTACTTGTACGTTATAAAGCATTTGCAATGGACCCTCAAGTGAATGCCTTGTTAATCAACTGGAAATTAGAACACCTTTGCTACAAGTTTTATGGTAGGTATTGATGCCACTTTTATTTGTAGAATTAATGAGTGCAATTGCTGAAAGTATTAAGATATTAACCTAACTTAGCCAAAAACATTGACCTTTGTAACTAAAGCGATCGAAAGTGGAGAGAGTAAAATTGTCGATGTAGCGAGATCTATACTAGAAAAAATCGTTTGATAACGTTAAGTAGTTAATGAAATCGTTGATAGAATGTGAGAGTGTTAACAGTTGATAATTATGCTAATGAATTGTAATGAAAAAAGAGAAGAGGTGTAGTCAACATTTTGTTGATGGTTATAACTATATTAATATAGAAATCTCACTTATGACAACTCTTTTAAGTCGAACTCGAATTGAATTATTTCAATGGAAGGGAAAAACAACAATAATTCCTTATTTTATGTATCAATATTATCTATTAGTAATTTTCGTGATCAGAGAATTCAAACAATTTTTTATTCTGAGTCTTTAACTTTTATCTATTGCTACTACTATTTTATTATTTTCGTGAAATTTTGAAGTCGACAATGAAGTTTGATATGGTTTTTACGTACAAAAAAGTGATTATTATTTACATTCATATTTCGTATATACAATTGCATTAATTTTTGAAGTTATCAAAATTTGCTAAACATAAATTCTAATTATTTAATTACTCACGAAAAAAATTATTTCAAGTTCAAAATTTTATAAATGAATAAAAATAATTTATATGATCTACTTTAATGATTAATATTTTTATTTATTTTGGAAAATAATGTAACTTATGAAAATTTTATTATATTGACGGAGGAAGAAATAAACAAAATTATAGATGAGAATGAGGCTCGAAATAAATTTAAAGAATTTTTTAAATTTTATAAACTCAGTTTGAGCACTATCTCTACAGTAGAGGTCGAGGAAGTAAACTTAAGTTCAGAAGTAAATATGGATGAATTTCAAGATCTAGATATAGAGAAAATAATAAGTTTAGTCGAAGTTAATGAAACTAATCCTTCTAATGATGTTAAGCAAAATTTAAAAAATTTATCTAGTTATCAAGAAAAATACACCGAAAGTAAACAAATTTATTGAAACTTCCTGTTTCTGAATATATGTTCTAAACTTAAAAACGTTTCTTTGTATTTCCTTTGTATTTAGTTACAAAAAACAAAAGACTTTTTCGATTGCTAGATGACAGAAAATGCTTTTGGGGTAATGTTATTTTATACCGATGGGCTTATTATCAAGATCTCACTAATTTCAGAAACATGTT